CTTTTTTGTTATTTTATTTTATTTCTCGTTTTCTGCTTCGAGTTTCAAGGAACGAACGTTTGGAGGAGCCACGTATTGATTGATGATATCCGACGGTATATTCCTTTTTCTTCTTTTTATTAACATCAATTTTATTTACTTTTTTTTTTTTTCATCAAACGTTATATTTTTTTCTTTCTAAACAACAACAATTTGTTATTCGCGGACGATAGGCTCTTTCTGTTTCGAGCGACGCTATAGAACGCTCAGCTTTCTTACACTGTTTGGAGCTATATTATACTACAATGGGTCAAGAGATCAATTTCATCAAATCTGCGATTACGTCTGAAATGGAAATATATCTCATAATGCAGCGGTTGATGTCTAGTTTGTTGGGTATAGAGAAATAAGGTGGCGACGGTACTTATCTCAATCTTCCAGAATGTTTTAATGATTCAGAACAGAAACTTCTCCCTTTCATCGGTTAAAAGCTTAATAAAAGGTTTAATGGATGGTTTGCCAAAACGCTTTTTCTTAGAAAAGATGAGGTCTTTCTTTAGTCAATTGCTATGGCCTTATCGGTGTATGCAAATCCGCAAACATGACCCGTTTTTGGTCGATGCGGACAAGATCAAGAGGTCGGCTTTGGATGAGAGACGGAGGTCAAATGAGATTATGAAGGAGGCAGTCGCCAACATCGATCCATATCGTTACAAAGTTGCCGAGAAGGACTTTGCGAAAGACGATACAATGCTAACTCAATTTGGTGCTAAGAAGGAGGAGGTAGAGAAGATAAGGAAGAAAATCAACAGTGATATTGAGAGGGCAAAGGCGGGCACTTATATGACCAAAAACAAAACAAAAAACATTACTCATCCATAATATTTGTTTGGATATGCAACTACCAATATTCTTTTTCACTCTCTATTTTTTCACCCATATCATACATAATTTTTTAATCTCCAGTTTATGAATTCTTTTCCACGAGTTCTGCTTTTTCAATTTATTTGTCGCATTCCGCATATTATACTCATTTCGCGCATATAATGTCACTTTTTTCTTACCAGTTTCACATATTTTATTCTAAATTATATATATATCATTTATGAAATGAAAGATTAGGGTTACAAAATGTTCGATAAACAAACTATTGCATTATATAGTATAAACAAACTATTGTATTAGGGTTTCAAAATTCCACATAATGTTTGTTACTTGTTACGCCTACTGCTTTTAGATAATCATCACAAACTATTGCATTATAGAGTATATATCCAATACGATGCAAAACATCTCATCTCACTCTCTAACAAACCAATTATGCCAAAAAGTTTAAGAAATGAGGATATTGCATAGCAATCGCTTTCGTTGC